ATTCCTGTTACATAGGAGGATTTTAGACCAGAATCAGTAATGGCTTTCCTTAATTCTCTCATTACAGAATAAGGAAGTGACTCATAAAAAACCTGCTGTTGAGCAGTTCCAGGGTTTGAATAGGTGATAGGGAAAGCAGACGGCATTTCACCTGGCCACTCAGACTCCTCCTCTAAGGACAGGAGCCCTTTCTGCCTGGCCAAAGAAAGCGCAGCGCGCACAGCTCCTATAGAGCAAACAGGGGCTGTGGCAGGCGGAGGAGGGATGGGGGGGAGGATGCAGGCTGAGGCGGAGGGATGGGGGGGGGAGGATGCAGGCTGAGGAGGTTGAGACGCAGGGAGGGATTGGCTGGGCTGCAAAGGAGAAGGAGGCAAAAGCTTTGGGTAAGGTGGGGGATTGTCTGCGATGGCTAGAAGTGCAGGGGCCGAGGGAGACACCCCAAATTTAGCAACGGCGTCTGCACATTTCTGCCAAGTGAGCAGACAATGAATCGGAGCCCTTGGTTCTGTAAAAGGGTCTTTCCAATCTTTTGCCAAGTCTCTACGTCCAAAGAACCAGTCTCTGGATAGGAGGGATATTGGCAATTAATCTCACAGAGCAATTGTTCAATTTCTTTTAAGGAAACATTAACACCCACCGCTCGCTGTCTAACTAAATAAAGCAATTCTTTAGCATGCTCTTTTTGGAATTTAGTCAGTTCCCCTCCCATACTCACGAAGTAGCGCGCTGAGACTTTTCCAGTCGAGTGAAGTATGAGGGCTGGCTGCGTAAGGGATCTGGCACGTCGGGGGTCACCAGATGTTGGGTTGAAAATCACGACAGACGAGTGGTAGGTGTCATATGAGAGGCGTCTCTCCGGGGCAAGCCCCGGGAACTCTCTTTTATTGAATATTACAAACATTGCCACAGGTATGCTTGTGGCTGATCGGTTGATACAAACACAAAGCATCTTGTTGCTGATTGGTTAACATAGGTACAAGGCGGGAATTACATATGACCATTTATCACTGATAGATCAAAGGCTGAGAAATGGAGCTAGAACTAGACAGGCATGAAACCTCCTAATTAAATTATAACTAAAGATTGATACTGAAAGAACATAACATGAAAGAATACAACAATCACATTCCGTAGATGTGGTCAGCAATGCATTAAGAACAGGTCAGGATACACTGTTTCATGAACTCAATGGAAACTGTTCAGAACATTCTCAGACTCTTGTGCACAAGCAAAGATTATGAGCGAGACTTCCTAGAATGCAAGAGAAAAGAAGCAATAGTTCTCATAGCAAGACTTCTAATAGCAAGACTTCCCACAATGCCACACGGTTATGTGCAGTAAGAGAACTGCAGAAAGAGAACTTCCCTTCAGCTCCTTAACCGCGAAGGACTCTCCTAATCAGAAGTCAGTAAGGGAAAGGACGCTCGCCTCACCCAACGGGTAGCTAGCCCCACCCCTGGGTGCACACTATGTGTGCCACTCCGGGTGCCAGAGCAGCTAGCTCCGCCTCTGGAGTCACACTATGGCATACAGCTAATTGGGATGAACCCAACAGGGCCGCCACTTAGCCCCTGCTTGGTCTCCAGGACAGAGGCACCCCTTCCCAGACCCACCCCCCTTTTGAGATTATTAGGCAACCAAATGTATCATTCCATAACACCTCATACAGGAATTATTATTATTATTATTATTATTATTATTATTATTATTTCCCATGGGGAACCTGCCTTTTTCTCCCAGATCAACTACAAGAGCAAGACCACAGCTTTAACAAAATGACAGCCCAAACAGGAAGACACATGGGAGCAATGGTACTGCTTTGAAGTGTTCCAGATCCATTTCCTGTTCTCCCAATGAGCAGGGCAGCTGTGGGCAAAATTGCAAAGAAGTACAATAATGATTTAGTCCTTAGTCCTATAATCTAGTAAGCCTTTAAGCCCAACAGTCGAAATCGCATAATTTCAATGCTTTAACTATATTAGGGAACATGTATAGTTGGTAAACAAATTGCTAGTTTGGTGAGAAATAACACTTCACTGAAGTGGATAACGCTTTGGCCAAGAGCTCACCTTTGGCAATCTTCTAGAACATGTTGCATATGTAGCAGTTCTTTCTAGCTAGAGTGAAACTGAAACCTGACATTTACAGTACCAGATAGAAGTGTTCTGGAATGTCCTGGCTGTGTCTGGAATGTCCTGGCTGTGTCTGTAGTACAACAGTTTTGGAAATCTGTAGGAGAGCATCCCACCAATCTCTTGTCATACTAGCAATCGTGTTATCAACTAACAATCAAAAGTGCTAAAATTTTAGCTACATTGGCAACAGGATGTTGGCTAGAAGCAACTGGTTTTCTGAAGCTAAAACTTACAATTTTGTTCTAGGAGTTACTTGATCATAATATAGAACTATTTGTCTATTCCTTATGAGTTTTACACATGATGAAAACGTATACTCAAGCAGATATTTTTATAATCACTGTACTATACTATGATACAGTGCATAATGAACATCCACATTCAGTTAGTCTGTGTGCCAGCCCCCTTCAGATTCAGCACAGAGAGCACCAAGTGACTCAGAAACAAATCAGAAGTTTAAAAGTCATGATACAAAATGAGTCTTGGGGCCTATGTGCATACCTAACCTTAAAAATAAAATAAAATAACAAAAACAAACAAACAAACAAACCGCACCACAGGGTAAGACTCCCAAAATCGGTTAAGACAGACCTTGAGATCTGGCTCACGTTTCTGGAACGCTACAATGGAGTCTCCTTATGGCAGGAAATCCTCAACCTGTCCTCAGATTTCCAGGTTCACTGATGCCGCTGGGTCCTTGGGCTTCAGTTTATTCTTTAGGGGACGCTGGTGTGCTCAACAATGGCCAGCAGAGGAGCAAGGCGAGGCTATCACGTGGGATCTCACTTTTCTGGAGTTTTTCCCCCCTTAGTTGTGGCTGTTCACATTTGGACTGAGGAGTTCCAGAATCGCCGGGTGTGCTTCAGAACTGATAACCAGGCAGTGGTCAACATGCTGGCTAAACAGTCATCGCGTTCCGAGAGGGTGTCGCGCCTACTCCAATCATTCGTCCTCCAGTGCCTCGCTTCCGAGCATTGGCTCCCAGGGCTCAGCCACTGCCAGAACCCGTTCCGGAGCACCTGTGGAACCTTGGAGACGTGAAGTGATTAAGGGAGTATTAGCATCTGTCGCACCCTCTACGCTTAGATCATATAAGAAGGTCTGGTGTGATTTCATGGGGTTCAGGTCCAAAGTATCCTCCCTTTCCACCAATGTTACACCCTCCACAGAAAACGTTCTGCAATACTTAACACACCTTCATGGCCTAGGTTGAGCCTCGAAAACTTTGAGGATACACATAGCCGCTATCACATTCTTTAGTAGACCCATGTTTTTCCACCGATTCGTGCTGTGACTTTATGGTCCGCAGGGCAATTGAAGGTTGCAGTTGACTGCAGCCTCCAAGTAACAAAGGCCGCAAGCCTATTTCTTACAAGCTGCTGTCCCAAATCCGTATGAAACTTAGGTCAATTTGCTGGTCCAAGTTCGAGGTCCGGGTGTTCTCTGCGGCATACGTTATAGCCTCCTTTAGGCCAGGCCTCCAAAACGTTAAAGATACACGTAGCCGCCATCAGCTTCTTTGTAAAGCCATGTTTTCCTCCGACCCGTGCAGTGACTTCCTGATCCGCAGAGCTATTGAAGGTTGGGGTAAGCTGCAACCCCCTAGAGCCGAGGGCCATAAGCCAATTTCTTACAGGCTGCTCTCTCAAATACGCATAAAGCTTAAGTCGATCTGTTGGACCAAGTTTGAGGCCCGCCTCTTTTCCGCAGCATATGCTAAGCCAATTCCTTACGGGCTGCTCTCTCAGATATGCACAAAGTTTAGGTCAATCTGCTGGACCAAGTTTGAGGCCCGCCTTTTTTTTCCCCCGCTGCATATGCGATCGCCTTTTGGCGCCTTGAGGGTCGGTGAAGTAGTAGCCGAGGTTAATGCAACTGGGTCAACGCGCGGCCTCCTCACGGAGGACTTGCAGTTGTCCGAAGCTAGCACGACGGTGTGGATACATCAATCCAAAACGGATCAGGCAGGTAGGGGTTCCCTTGTAAAACTTACAGCTTCAGCGCAGCGAGGCCCAGGCCCGGTCAAGGACACTAGATGGTACCTTTACCTCAGACTGCCTGGTCCTGGCCTGCTCCTGGTTCACGAGGATGGGTCACCTTTGTTGAGACACCAATTCACAAGGGTACTCCGCAAAGCTATTGATGCCTGTGGTTTATCTTCCCAGGATTATGCTGCACACTCATTCAGGATTGGCGCCACCACAACAGCGGTGCTCTTGGGTCTGCCGGCGGATAGGATTAAAGAAATGGGCCGGTGGAAATCCAATGCTTATAAAAGTTATATTCGCTAGAATGCGCTCTGCTATATTACCCCTACTTACCTCCTTTTCTGTCCTTTCATCCTCAGCTGTGATCAGGAGAAGCGTGTGGATTTGCGGCCACAGTATAGTCCATTGGGCCCGCGTACGGGCGGTCAGCTGCGGCCTTGCGCCTAATCTTGGTCTGCCACACGGTGTTCGAGTTTCCTGGTTCTCGAGAAGAGGCATGCGCTGGGAAGAGCTTATGCCATTGCTGTGGGGAAAAGTCGCCACGTTCGGCCCTCCCGGCATCCTTGTCATTCAATTAGGGGAAAATGACCTTGCTTACAGAAGGAGTGTGGACTTGTTGTGGAATATAAAAAGAGACTTGGATGCGTTTGCTGCCTTGTGCCCCAGAACAACGGTGTTCTGGTCCTCCTTCCTGAAGAGAATTTTTTGGCGCGGTGCGCTGAGCTGTATGGCCATTGAAAAAACCAGGAAACTCGTAAATCGGGCAGTGGCCCGTTGGGTGCGCTTCATGAATGGCCGAGTCATTTATCATGACCAAATCCGGATCGGCGACCGGGCCTTATACCGGAATGACGACGGGTGCCTCTCTCTGACCAGGGGAACGACATTTGGCTAGATAGTGTCATCAGCAGCATTAGGGATTGGTTACAGCCGTGAGGGTATTGGCGGCGAGCCTTATTGGCTCGGGTGGCGGTTAGGCATTGGAATAATGTGTTGTGGTGTGTCGAAGGGCTGGGTGTGGCCATCGCCTATGCCTTCAATTTTTGGGTATTCCGTTAAAGGAATCTGGCGGTCGTGTACTCTGTCCGATGCCTGCTTGGCGGGAGGCCATGGCACGACCCTCGGTGACATCAGGGGAGAGCCTATAGTTGGATTAGCATCAACAGGCTCCACCTACTGGTGAATAACCCCCTTGTTTTAGACATCCAATGCCTAAGCCAATACCTTTTCACTGCTGTAATCAATAAAGTTGTGGCCTTTTCTTGCCCATTAACCTTATATCACGTGTCCTTGTGTATTTATTTCACATCGCGGGGTCGGGTCCTCGAACCACAAAGACTCTCCTCCCTGGAAGAGAGGGAGTGGTTGTGGGCGGGAGCCCGAGCACCGCCCTAGCAGGGGCATTGGCCCCCTGCTTCCTCCTCTCACCTGGCTGGCGCCCACGCCCCCTCGGCAGGCATCCAACCAGGTGCCTTCGAGGGGGCGTGTTCAGCAGCCTTTTGCGGCGGCGCCAGCCTGTCCTCGGCCTCATTCTTCTCCGTCCTCTCGTTGCGAGTCACCCATCCTCCACTCCCTTTTAGCTCAGGGTCTTTGTTCTTTGGCCTTGCTATGGACCTTAGGTTGGTCGCCCTGGTTGTCTAGGGGGCCTGGTAGGAATTTTTCCATTTGGCATTAGGCGGTTTGGGGTGTTCGCCTACCTCGTAGCAATCGTCACAACTTTTTGTGGTATTGGTGGGTAGGTTAGGCATTGGAATAATGTGTTGTGGTGTGTCGAAGGGCTGGGTGTGGCCATCGCCTATGCCTTCAATTTTTGGGTATTCCGTTAAAGGAATCTGGCGGTCGTGTACTCTGTCCGATGCCTGCTTGGCGGGAGGCCATGGCACGACCCCCGGTGACATCAGGAGAGAGCCTATAGTTGGATTAGCATCAACAGGCTCCACCTACTGGTGAATAAACCCCCCTTGTTTTAGACATCCAATGCCTAAGCCAATACCTTTTCACTGCTGTAATCAATAAAGTTGTGGCCTTTTCTTGCCCATTAACCTTATATCACGTGTCCTTGTGTATTTATTTCACATCGCGGGGGTCGGGTCCTCGAACCACAAAACTTTTGGTTGAATCTCTACTTTTGTGAATCTCAAAGATAATTCATTAGATATCCATATCTGATCTATTCAGCGACAGTGATTGATTTGCTTCCAAGTGAAAAGTAAATTGTTTTTCTAATGGGTGTTTCAACCTCCATATATCGATCAGATTACAGTTTTCTACCATATCAAAAAAAGTCTTTGGTAGTTTCCCCTCTTTCATTCTGCTTTTCACTCGCAGTCTATCCATTTCCATTGATACCACCCCATTCATGTCCCCCCTTATTATAATTTTTTTGATCCATGTATTCAAACAATTTTTCTTCCAGACCTTTAAAAAACTCTGTTTTATTTCCATCCGGTGCATATACTCCAATAATTATCAGTTTTCCCCTTTGCCAATTAATTTGAACAGCAATTAATCTTCCTTCTTCATCTTTGAATAATTGTTCTGCTTCAATTTTACTCTTAATATACAGTACCACTCCCCTCTTTTTACTTTTATCTGATGAGATAAATTCGTTTCCCAATTTCTTATTAATTAAAATTTTTCTATGAGTTCTTTTCGCATGAGTTTCTTGTAAACAAATAATGTCCAAATTCTTTTGTTTTAAATAATGTCCAATTTTATTTCTTTTTTTTATCATTCATTCCATTCACATTCCAAGTCCACAACTTCATCGCCATAGTGTCTGTCAGTTAAATATTCTGTGTTCAATATTGCCTTTCACCCAAGAGAAACCTAGGAGGAATCACCTTATCAATAAGCATTGGGGTATTTTGTCTATCAACATCTTGATTCTGCTGTCAATAATGCATTTGACACCTTTTGATTCTGGCAACTACCCTGAGTATATGTGTGTCTCAGAACAGGAAAATTTCAAAGCATTGGACACTTTCCACAGTGGAAGCCTAATGTGAACAGGAAAATAAAAGTTATTTTGCCTAAGACCTCTCCTGGCATGTACACTTAGAAATCAAAAAGGGCCATCTCAATTTTCAATTAATAGATATCCAAGGAGTATCTTTCATGGGAGGGACATACTAAAAAGAGCACAAACAATATTCCAGGTCCCTACTCTTGCTGTTAATTTATGGATGGTTAGCTGTCCAGCCAGCCAAAAAAAGAGGTCTGCCCCATAATATATTATATTCAGAATTCAGAATTCTTTAAAAGCTGGTTTTTACTCATGAAAACCTCAACCAATAATCTGAGTGCATTTTAACAGCACATGCAAGACTTTGACTAAGTGTGTCGCTGGTCAAACACAGCCTTTATGCAATTCAGCTTTTACTATATTTAGTAAATTCTCTCTCAATAATAGCATCTTAATATATTACTTTCATTAATACTCATCAGCATAAACACTCAACCGTCTTTACAGCCCATTACCCAACTTTTCTCCTGTTCCAACATTCTCACTTCTCTACCCTCTACCTCTCACCTTCTTTTCTACTTCCCTCTACTTTCTCCAGCCCAGACCACTACTTCACCTTCTGCATAACATTTGGGACACAATTGTTCATCCCTTTTACAAATAAAAATTATACGCATTTCAAAAATATATCAAAAAAAGGTAGTGCAAAAATCAATTTTGGTATCAAATAGTGTGCTATTCCTTATTCTAAACTGAGCTGAGATTTATAATAAGATCTAACTTGCACACCACCCCTTTAAGTTTTAAAACGTGCAAATTATTATTAAAGCACATAATGTCGCAGTGCTCCACGGAGTCTTTGGAAACAGATTCATCATACAATCACAGTTAGCAAGATGCAATCTTGAAAAGACTCGTGAGGTATGCACACAACACAGGTCTGCAAATATATTGCAAATTCCCTTTGCTGCTACCTGCAAGATGTAAAGGTGTGTCAAATTTACAGAACCACCTCTATGATAACAAAAAGAGGTCATATGTTTAAATGACACAGGTACTCTTGCTCATGCTCTGGGGGCTGGCATGCCATGCAATATTTAGTAATTTTGTAATTTTCCTGAGTGTTCTTTGGCCCCATTTTCTGTGTTTGCACACACACACACTGCAGGGGTACATTTGTACATTTTTACTTTTGATCAACATTTAACAAGTGGTTTCTAAATCACCCAGGGTACCTTATGCAACAGAGTCAATAAGAAACAAACTTTTAACAAAAATATTAAGATACCAGGTAGCTCAAAGCACAGCGAATTGATGACATTCAAATTCTGAAACCAGTACATGATTACATGATTGTATTAGTAATTGAAACCTTCCCACCTTTAACATGAAAATATAAAATTTGACCTCATGAGCAACTCATGTCACTTTTAATGTTAAAGACCAAATAATCCTTTTTTATACTTGTACTCTGCAAGATTCTAGGTGTTTTAAGGTCTGTTTCCCAACCCCCTAAGATGCAGCACAGTAGATGTGGCAGAATTGGGAACCCCTTCATGCAGGGTTCTATTCCTGGCGCCTCTTGTGCGTTGGCAGAGCACATATCTCTTTTTCCTGGACCCCACGTGTTGGCAATACAATACAAGCCAACTGGACCCACCTATGCTGGTCATTGCCAGAATACAGAAAGGAGCTTACAAGGGTTTTCAACTGTAGCTTGACATTTCCAATTGTCCCCAAAATAAAATACTGCAAGGGGGTCAATTTACTGCTTGCTCCCCCCATGATTTTGGGACACTCTGACCACCTGAGAGCCAGTGTGGTGTAGTGGTTAAGAGCGGTAGTCTCATAATCTGGGGAACCGGGTTCGCATCTCCGCTCCTCCACATGCAGCTGCTGGGTGACCTTGGGCCAGTCACGCTTCTTTGAAGTCTCTCAGCCCCACTCACCTCACAGAGTGTTTGTTGTGGGGGAGGAAGGGAAAGGAGAATGTTAGCCGCTTTGAGACTCCTTAAAGGGAGTGAAAGGTGGGATATCAAATCCAAACTCTTCTTCTTCTAATGTAATTATTCACTCAGTCACCTTTCTCCGCGTCCTTTCAGTGGCCTAGACGGACTCGCGTCACTAGGAACCGCACCTTACAAGGACCACACTTTGCTTCGCCAGTGGCTCTGAGCCCCAACGTCTCATCCACTCAAGACATTCACTGGAGTGTCCCTATACACATACACATACGAACATACAAGCCCCCATACACACACAAACCCCATGCACCTCCCCAATCCCCTTTACCCATAAACGTCCCAAAACCGGTGGCACTTTACTGTTCTTCTACCGGCAAACCAGTGGCACTCTGCTGCTCTCTACTGGTTGAACCCAGCAGCACTCTACTGCTCCTACTGATCAGACCCCTGGCTCCCACAAATAAACTGTGGAGCTTACCTTTCCCTTCCCTCGGGCACCCTTTTCCCCATGCAGCTGCTGTCTTTCTTCTGTCTCTGCTGCATCTCCACTCCAGGTACGGGGTGGGGGCTCCCCTAGAAATGGTAGGGTGTGCACTTGGCGCCACCGACGCCGACCGAGCTGTTTGCTTCGCAGTGACACCTCGGTCCTTTGTCCTGTCCTCGGAGAACGCTGGATTCCCGGCCAATACACCAAGAAATGTAGCCTTATTGGAGTTCACCGATTGGGTCTGCGTTGCTCCGGGACAGGAGGAAGGAAGTCAAATGACACCGAGTTGGTTCAAAGAAAGAGTTTATTCTGCTCTCCGGATAGCAGAAGGCACTTGCGTGATCAAGTCCACAGCAAGTCCAAAGAAATGACAGGTTTCATGCAGTATATATATCCTCCAGGCACCCTCTCACTCCTCCCCTAGGAGCCCAACCACGTCGGCCTACATACGCAGGTTGACATCACATATGTTCTTGCTCTGGTACTCTCAACCATAAAAGGATCTTCCTTCCTGTACTTCTGACCATAAAAGGATCTTCCTCCTCCTACTCTTATCTGGGATGCAGGGGTCACCATTTCCGAGAACACACTCTGGCGTTATTCCCAGATGTGGGTCTGCGCGTCTTTGTGGTCAGCACACAAGGTAAGGCACACACGCATCATCCCTGCTGTACTGGAACTTGGCAAGGTCACTCATTGCCGCCACGGACTGATAAGGGAGAGAGCTTTGTTCTTGTTATGGATTTGTTCAACGGCTCAACTTTATGCATTTTAGCTAAGGAAAAATAGGGATTTTGGTGCAGTCAGTTTTTGGGTTTTGGGAAACCCATTCCTTCACCACCACATATGATAAAAAGTACCTTCTTTTTCTTTGCATTTCCAACATTGATTATCATTTGTATGATAGATCTTTGCTAATTTCATTGGGGTTAAGTACCATCTATACATCATTTTCATAATATTTTCTTTTAATACAGTACATGCAGTGAACTTAAACCCTTTCTTCCACAGCCTTTCCCAATCTTCCAACATTATAGTGTGTCCAACATCTCTTGCGCAATCAATCATCACAGATTTAACTTGTTCATTCTTTGTATGCCATTCCAACAATAAATTGTACATTTTAGAGAGATTTTTAACATTGGTATCTAACAGTTCCATTTCCAATTTGGATTTTTCAAACGCAAAACCATTTTTCTTATCAAGCTAACACAATTCATTAATCTGATAATATTGTAACCATCCATCCAATTTATCTTTAATTTGATCAAATGGTCTCAATTTAAATCCTTCATTATCTTCCAACAATAAATCAGCGTATTTCAACCATTTAGTCTCCATATTCAGCTTTTCTGTGCCTTTGCTTCCATTGGTGAAAGCCACCTGGGTGTTCTCCTTTCTAAGAGATCTTTATATCTTATTCATACATTATATATAGATTTTCTAATTACATTGTTTTTTAAACCTTTGTCATACCATAAATATGCATGCCATATTTGTCATTGTCAAATCCTTCCAAATCTAACACATCAGCATTATCTAGTTGAATCCATTCCTTGATCCAGCAGAAAGCCGCAACTTCAAAATATATCTTCAAATCTGGCAGGGAAAATCCCCCCCCCTTTTGAATCTGTTAATATTTTATATTTAATTCTGGGTTTTCCCCCCCGCCAGATAAATTTAGACAATGCT